AGAACCAGAACCACAACAAATCACTTCACACCGTCTTTAACTGCTGCTTCCTGTTTCATGAGCTTTAATCTCCGAGGACACTGCACACAATCAAGCTAAATAAAACCGGATAATCTAAAGACCTGGTCCTCTCCGGGTCCTCAGACCTGGTCCTCTCCGGGTCCTCAGACATGGTCCTCTCCGGGTCCTCAGAGTTCGCCTCATATGAGTTTACATTCTGGTCCATAATAATTAATAGCATCAGGTCTCCTTTTAAAGGCTCAGTCCACCAAATAAAAACATCTTGTATAAAGAGACACCGTCCTCATGTGGTCTCTGGTGGTTTTGGACTTACGTGATGGGGGGTCCGTGGATGGCGGTCATGGCGGGGGCGAAGGTCCGGTACAGGGAGTGGTTGAAGACCGGGGACCGGATGTTGGCCATGACGGCATCCAGCAGCGGCTGACACAGGTACTGCTGCTTAGAGGACACCTGGGGGGGAGGGGGGGTGGGCTGAAAACCACATAAGGTTGGGGGTGGGCACCATTACAACACAACCAGACCATCACCATAGCAACCTGTGATTTCATCCATCCAGACCCCCAAACCTCTGATCTGAGTTTTCTTCTGGTGACTTTAAAATGTCAAACTTTGGTGTTCACTTTTGTTTGTTAGCTTCTATGTGAACACGTTAGTGTGAACGTGGTTCTCACCACGGCCATGTCGTTCTTCAGCTTCTCCAGAGCTATCTCACACTTCTGTAGCGTCTTCAGGGGACACCTGTAGGACAGAGGACAGACACGGGTGAGAGGACAGACGGGTGAGAGAGGACAGACAGGTCAGACGACACACAGGTGAGAGAGGACAGACGGGTGAGAGAGGACAGACGGGTGAGAGTGATGTCCTCTTATGGAGTTATTGACGAGGACACGTACCTGGTGTTTGGATCCGTCAGGATGTTCAACAGACTCTTCATCTTACTCAGGTCCTTCTTCCTGTCTGTCAACACAAACACAACTACATATTAATAAAGTATTAATAAAGTCATGAGGAGGATCTCAATAGACCATTATTATACCAATCAATCAATGTCTCCAACTTTCCTCAAACTGAAATGTGAATAAATGTTCTGATTGGTCAAACGACTGAAGTTATTAATTAATTGCAGATTAATTTTCTGTGAATCAACTAATTGATTAATGGATGATGGGTTTGAGCTCTGACCTTCGTTCTTGTCGATCTTATTGATCATCCTGCGCAGAGGTTCGATGTATTTAGAGAGCTGTTTGAGTTTCTCCATGTACTGCTGGTCCTCTAGAGACGTGGGTCCAGCTGGACTCATCACTGAGCCGGGGTTACCTGTAGGACAGGAGGGAACAGGAAGGAGACAACAGAGGACAGGAAGGGACAGGAAGGAGACAACAGAGGACAGGAAGGACACAAGAGAGGAGAGGAGAGGAGAGGACAGGAAGGAGACAGAGGGCAGGAGGGGACAGGAACGGAGAGGAGGGAGACATTGGAGACGTTGAAAAGTGTCATTACCAACATTTAAGGTAAAGTCAGGAGTCTGTCATAAGAACAGAGAAGCAAATAAATAGAACAGATTCCATCAACTCTCTCCCTAAAGATTAAATTCAAAGTGACGAGTTTCATTAAAATGTTTTATTAAAAGTAGCTGACGGAAGTAAAACACGTCATAAACTAAAAGCTGATTCTTCATGGTTCAATGTTGGGCTCCAGTTGATCAGTTATCTCGTCGTTAGTACTCAGATGGACGATCTAAAGATCTCCTCTGAGCTGAGCTCTGTTGGTGTTTGTGTACCTGGAGTGTTGAGCGGTCCAGGTGAGGGGACTCCATAGTTGAGGGGGGTCCGGGCGTTGGCGGGGCTATGTGAGGGCTGAGGGGACGGGCTGGGCTGGAAACCTCCCGGAGACGGAGTGGGACCAGAGCTGGAGATGGGAAGCATTTTAGAAACCAGCATGGTATATCACCATGGCAACGGGTAAACAAAAGGCAGAACCTCTATTTTAATCAGGACAGGCGGTCTTATTGAGAGCCCCTGTGGACACCTCGTTGTACCTGGCTGAGTTGGGCTGTGAGGTGGGGGGTTGAGGTGACGGCTGAGGAGGGGGAGGCATCGACAGCGGCGTTTGCACCTGCCCAGGTGAGGGCGATGACATCATTTGATGCTGCTGTGACTGTGGAGGAAAGTGATTGGGCAAGAAGAAAAGGTTTGCGTCAGTGACCAGAGAACTCATATCGGGCCGATGCTATTATTGACGATTATCTGCAAATCAATTGATTAATCGTTTGGTTTATAAAACATCCGACAGAAAGATGAATGTGTCGTTTTGTCAAACAAATACATTTATTTACTTCACTCCAATATTTTCACAACGTTGAGACGACCCACCCCTAAGACGGCGCATCATACTGGGGATAAATACCTGCTGTGTTAGCGACTGTCCTCCCGCAGCCGCCGCGGCAGCAGCAGCTGCAGCGGCAGCGGCTGCCACAGCAGCAGCGTTTTGAGGAGGGATGGCGGGGTTCAGGGCTCGAGGCATCCGGGGTGGAATCTGCATCCCAGGACGGACCAACTTCAGAAGACACAACAGGACAGGTGAGCAGACAGACACATACATATTTGTCTTTCTACACTTGTGAGGACCCTGATATCCGCCAACTAGGGATGCAACAGATCACAAACCACGGTTCGGATCATTTTTCGGATCAGCAAAGAAAAGGGGAGGAGTCAAATATAACTTTGCTTTCCATTTATTAATTAAAGAACTTCAAGAACACTTAAAGCAAAGAACTTTGGGCTATAGTCTTATATAAAAACCATACAATTTAGATATTTATTTTCATAAAGATGAGAATATATCTACATTGTGTGAGGAAAGG